AGTTTTCCTGTTTGTATATCACTTCTACAGTAATCTTGCTAAGCGTAAGAGTGTGGGGGCAAACAGGCTGATAGATATAAATACTTAGCTATCTTCACTGATGTTCTCAACCAGGCCAGAAAACTTGCTGTCTGTTAAACCAAAGTACTGGAGAAAAAGAGCAGATGAGAGATAGGAATCTGGCAAATATATCTAGTCACCATCAGGGTTGAAGGTCATCTATTGGTTGGAATGGAACAACTCACCACAGTTATTTTGCTATGACCAATTGGCCACAGCCAATGCACTGTGGCCAACTTGTAGCCCTGATGGTGCTCCTGATAAAGTTAGAATAGAATAGAGCTGGAAGGACCTTGGAGGTCTTTTAGTCCATCCCCCTGCTCAACCTCCAGTGATGAAGTACCACAATTTCTGAAGGCGAGTTGTTCCATTAGTTAATTGTCCTCACTGTTAGGAAGTTTCTCCTTAATTCCAGGTTGCTTCTCTCTTTGATTAGTTTCCATTCATTGTTTCTTGTCCTGCTCTCTGGTGCTTTGGAATATAACTTGTCCCCCTCATCTTTGTGGCAGCCCTTCAAATACCAGGATACTGGGATATTGATCTTCATGCTTCAGGTGTAGAATTAGGCTTAGGAGCTCTGGCCCCGTGTGTTTCCAGTCACAGATCCTTTCTTAATGGAGTAGAAAATAGGTACTCAGTGGGTTCCAGTTGACAGGATTATGTTCACAAATTAGCCAGCTACAATTCAGTCAAGTGTATTTGGTAACCCAGGTTTTTAATCTTTACTTTCTGGTTGAGTCAGCCACACGCAAAACGGGATTAACTGTTGTTAAACAATGTTGTCTGGAACTCACCAACATTGAAAAATAATGAAAATGTTTTTAAATTCCTTTCATCTAAGAAAAAAAAACAAACCTGTTAAGGGTTTCAGGATGGATTGCTGTTTGAAGCAAAGGTGGCGATGAAGGTAGAGTTACACAGCGAAGGAAATGTTGCATGGAAAAAGAAAATGGTTACAATTCTCCAATTCTCAATTTAACAGATGTCAATTTCCTGGACTCTGGATTCCAGAGGGGGAAAAACATCTCTGTACTTTATCTTCCTACGCCTGTACAACTTCCTATTCATTATTTTAAGCGTGCATAAAATATATAAAATATGCATGTGTAAAATCTCGTTTGCTATTTGACACATCAGCAAACCTCCATTCAGTTTTTAACAGACATTCTGCATTCTCTTTTCATCTCATTTGTCTATTTAAACGGAGAGTTTACTTGCAATTGAAGTGACTGGCAGGGCAAATTACCACCACCAAGGAAGCACTAATTTTAAAGTGCATAATTTATCTCTGAACTGATTGCTATCCCCTGTGATGCAGGCCATCCTTTTAAACCTGCTTTGAAAGGGGACGGACCAAATGTGTGCCACAGATAATGATAGCAGGAGTATTCATGTTCAGAGACGGTCTTTCCAGAGTTGCTATGGAGCCTCAGCATTTCGTAATATATTTATAAGTCACCATGCATTTTCAGCTTATGAGCTTCCTAAAGTTGTCTCTATATTGTTGTGGCCAAAGGAGCTGGCAGCAGATTCGGACAGTGAGGAGGTTGGGGAGGAACATGGGCCAGTCCTGGAGTCTGGGGAAGGCTCTGATGAGGGCTCTGCGTCGGAGGCAGAGACGGAGCCAGGGCCGTATGCCAGTTATCAGCTGCCTTGGGAGTCAGATATCAGTGAGACAGACGAACAGCTGGAGCCTGTTCCCAGAGTGCGCATGCGCAGAGTTGCCAGACAAAGGGAACAGCTAAAGAACAAGGGTCGACTCAGTAGTAAAGCCACAGGTGGATGATGAATGGCCCCTCCCAGAGGGAATAAAAGAGGAGCGAAAGGGGAGTGGAGTTTGCAGGAGACAATTAGTTCACTTAATTGGTTCATGACTCTTCGTGACTCCTTGCCAAGTTTTGAAGATATCAGCCTGGCAGCTTCCCCAAGCCAGATAATGTCTCTGACTGTAAATTCACCCTTGAAAGACTTTGCTGGATGCAAATGAGAAGAATTCACAGTAACTTAATAAAAAGGGGTTTTTGTCGGGACAAGGAGTCTGATTCGTGGTTTGGGGAAGCCTAGGTCAGAACCAGGGGTGAAATGTAAAATGGTTCTGGTTCTGTGGGCGTGGCTTGGTGGGAGGGGGGCAATGTGACTGGGTGGGCGTGGCCAACATTTTTTTAAAAAAACTTTTCAAAGCGTTTTTTCTAATGCTTTGAAAAGCCTCTGCAGATCAGGCAACTCAGCTGGGATCGTCAGAGACTTTTCAAAGCATTTTTTTAAACCACGTCTTCGGTCAAGAGGTTGCAGAAAAAAATGCTTTGGAAAGCCTCTGACGATCCCAGCTGAGCCGCGTGATCATCAGAGGCTTTTTTTTTTTTACTTTTAAAAGCATTTTTTCGTCAGAAGAGGTTGTAGAAAAAATGCTTTTAAAAGTTAGAAAAAAAAAGCCTCTGATGATCGTGCGGCTCAGCTGGACATGGTGGGAGGAGAGGCGCAGGGATTTTTGCTACCGGTTCTCCGAACCACCCACCACCATCGCTACCGGATCGGGTGATCCGGTCCGAACCGGGAGCATTTCACCCCTGGTCAGAACATATATGCTGTGCAAAACAGGTCAACAACAGTGGGGCGCATCGTTCCTTAAAGACGAGGCTGGCAATGCGAGACCACCACATTTGCGTAGTAATATAAACAATCACAGCCAGACTTTCTGCACGTATGGAGTCAAGTTCACTAGAAGATAAACAGACGCACACACACACATACAAACATACACACATACACACACGTGAGCATTACATGCGGTTCCAACTCAGTCTTCACCCCCAGGAAATTCTTGATGTAACTGCAATGGAATTTGGAGCACCCAAGCTTGGCCTGCCTCTCAGCTGTCAGACACAGAGAGACTTATTTTAGCTCTGCTGTCAGAGCACATTAATTTCTGCTCTCCCCAACAGAAAACTCCGGGCTGGATTCCACTCTATTTCCCTTTACCCGTCATTTTGAATGCCAGATTCTCCTTGCTTGGAGGAAAACTGCCTCGGAATGGTTGACCCCTTTAATTGAGAGCAGATATGTTTAAAATATAAATCGTCTTTGTCCCCAAAATGAAACCCTTCCCGTTCACCTCTTCCTCCAAGAGGGGCTTCTGGAAGGGAAATGAGTGTCCGTGTTCATTCATGACACCTCCTTAGCTAGCAATTGTTCTTCCTCCCTTCCTCTTCCAATATAAATTGGAAAATAGCTCAGGGACAATGGAAAGCAATTCTCTGCCGATCAAGACAAGGTACCGTATTTTTCGGACTATAAGACGCACCAAAATTTCGAAGTGGTAAGCAAGAAGAAAAAAGTTTTTGCCCTCCCCAGCCCCCAGGGACACTCTGCAGGCCTACCAAACCCTGCGCACATCCCGTTTTTCACAAAAACAGGGCACACGGAGGGTTTGGGAGGCCTGCAGAGTGCTCCTGGGGGCTGGGGAGGGCAAAAATGTGACGCATGGGGGATTTGGGAGGCCAAAAACGGGCCCATTTTTCACAAAAACGGGGGCATTTTTGCCCTCCTCAGCCCACAGGAGGACTCTGCAGGCCTCCCAAATCCTCTGCGCGCTCCATTTTTTTGAAAACTGGACCCCTTTTTTTGCAAAAATGTGACACATAGGGCGGGCTTTTGGAAGGCCAAAAATGGCTATATTTGGTGTATAAAATGCGCCAACATTTCCACCCTCTTTTATGGGGGGGAAGTGTGTCTTATACTCCAAAAATATGGTAGTTAGCAACTAAAGGAATACTTATAATGAAATGTTATATTTAATGTGTAGTAGGTATGTATATAAAATGTATTGATTATATGAATAAGTATGTCACAAACAAAATGTGTATGAATATAGTTGGCTGAAAGATAAATTGGATATCACTAAAAATGTTGGTATTGGAAAGCTGTAAAAGTGTAACTAAAAGAGCCGAGGTGGCGCAGTGGTTAGAGTGCAGTACTGCAGCTACTTCAGCTGACTGCTAGTTCAGCAGATCAGCGGATCAAATCTCACCGGCTCAAGGTTGACTCAGCCTTCCATCCTTCCAAGGTGGGTAAAATGAGGACCCAGATTGTTGGGGGCAATATGCTAATGCTAATGCAATATGCTAATATTGCAATTACTGTAAATTCGAATCTCACCAGGCTCAAGGTTGACTCAGCCTTCCATCCTTTCTAAGGTAGGTTAAATGAGGACCCAGTTTGTGGGGGCAATAAGCTGACTTTGTATAAATATACAAAAGTATGAAGGCTATTGCTTAACGCATTGTAAGCCGCCCTGAGTCTCCGGAGAAGGGCGGCATATAAATCAAATTAAAAAAAAAAACATGCAATATGCTAACTTTGTAGACCGCTTAGAGAGGGCTGTAAAGCACTATGAAGCAGTATAGAAGTCTAAACAACAACAATAACAACAACAACAACAACAACAACAACAATAATAATAATAATTTAAAAGATGTAAACATTGAATAAAAACAATTTAAAAAAATACTCCTTGCATGCTGGAACTGAGTTGGCTTTAGCAAATTTTCCTCCGTATCAAGTGGAACATGTCACATAAAACATTCTGACATTCGTCATATCCCAGGTAGCTACGGTCCCTCATCATAGACCAGGCTGTAGGACTATCAACACTTGTTCAGCATCTTCTGGACACCCAGAGCAGGCTCACCTGCAGACCAGGGGTAATATTCACTTACCTTCACTACTGGTTCACAAATGTGAGTGCCTGTGCCACCTCCATGCATGTGCAGGGCCTTCCGCGCATCCACAGTGCATTAAAAATGGAATGCAATGACATCCGGGTGGGTGGGCGGAGCCTCCCACAGCTGCCGCTACCAGTTTGCCCGAACCTGGATAGAACCACCACTGCTACAGACCCCAATCAGGACTTCATAACCCCTTGAAGGAAATGAAACACTTACTCTAAAGAATTCTTTGGTTGAACCAGAATCCAAAGTCCCGTAGGCGATCTCGGTCTGCTTAGCCAGATCTTCAGCGCTTTCAATGGGCGACACCATCCTTTCCACCGTGAGGAAGGCAGCCAGGTTGGCGGTGTAGGATGAGATGATGATGAGGGTGAAGAACCACCAAACGCCGCCAACGATTCGCCCTGAGAGAGACCTAAGAAATTGGAGAAGTGGTTACTTCGCTATATGCCGGTCTTCGGTCTTCCGCAGGAAGAAAAATCCCACACGGTCCAAACAGAAGGGGAATAAAAAGAAAGAGAACTAATATTGGCGTTCTTGGAGTCTAGAAATTCACCGAGCATTTACATTCGCGGCATGGAAATGTCACAAGGCTGCATAGGTAGCCCTCCAATTACGACCACAATCGAGCCCGAATATTCATACGTTAAGTGAGCTTTGCCCCGTTTTACGATCTTTCCTGCCACAGCTATTCAGTGGATGACTAAGGTTGTTAAGTTAGCAATACAGTTGCTAAGTAAATCTGGCCTCTTTATTGACCTGGCTTGTCAGAAGGTCTCAAAAGCAGATCAGGTGACACAGGGACACTGCAACTGTCATAAATATGAGTCCGTTGCACAAGCGTCTGAATTTTGATTCACATGACCGGGGGCGGGGTGGTGGGTGTGGATGCTGCAACTGTCGTAATCGTGAAAAACAAGTCACTTTTTTTTCAGTTGTAACTTCGAACAGGCCCTGAATGAACTGTTGTAAGTCGAGGACTACCTGTAATTTAAGTCTAGTGTGAAGGACAAAATGAAAATGCTTGCTACTGCATCACTAATGAAGTGCGTCCAACCCAGTTCATTTACCTAGGAGCGTGATGGCGAACCTATGGCACGCATGCCACCTGTGGCACGCGGAACCATATCGGCGGGCACACGAGCGTTGCCCTAGCTTAGGTCCGGTACACATGTGTGCGCCGTCCAGCTGATTTTCGGGCCTTTGAGGCCCATCAGAAGTCGGCAAATGGGCCGTTTCCAGCCTCCGGAGGGCCTCTGGAGCCTGGGGAGGGCAAAAAACGGGCCTACCAGGCCCACTGTGCCATCACAGTGGGGGAAGCGCGGGGGGGTCCATGTGCATGCACGGGGGGGCGCATTGAATTATGGGTGTGGGCACGCATGTGCGACCCCCCCTGTGCTATTGGCACACAATGGCAAAAAGGTTAGCCATCACTGACCTAGAATTTAATGCATCGTGAAAAACCAGAAACAGAGGAAAACCGAACAAACCAGCTAAGAGTCGGCTAAACCATGGCATAAACAGTTGAGCAAACGTGATTGCACCTCATTTAATAGGATATTTCGGGTCTGCTCTCGTTTCTGCCAAATCTCAGCATCCTGCTTTTAATGCTGAGTGGATCTCTTTGGACTCCAACCCTATTGGCTGCTGCAGCACTTCCTGTCCTCCTATTAGCATTTATCGGTAAAACGGAAATTCCCTTTGCCATTTTATGCGTCTAAGAAAGAAAGAAAGAAAGAAAGAAAGAAAGAAAGAAAGAAAGAAAGAAAGAAAGAAAGAAAGAAAGCCAAGATTGTCTGCCACTCAAGTTTCTGTCCCATTTATCAGAATTCTGCATTCTTTTGCAGGGAGTGATGCCAGAGCCGGTTAGACATTAATTAGAGCGCTCGCCCGCCTGCAAGTCAAGATTGCAAAGCACAAATATTTATAATTTATAAACCTGATTTACGGACGTGGTGACCTAAGCTCCAGATTTCCCTTTTTCAGCTGGCAGCTCTCACAAGAGAGATGCGCAAACATCTTTATTTTTCTTCCACAGTACAGTAACTGCATTTAAAAATAAATAAATAAAAAGGCAAGATAGGAAAAACGAAAGACCGGCCACTTTTTTTCAACGCTTTTATGAAGGAGTATATTAAACCAGAGGTCCCAAGCTCCAGTCTATGGACCTGCACTGGGAGGGGAGATGTCAGAAATCAGGCCACGCAAACAAGCAAAGCCCCATCCTTGAGATGCAGGCAGCACGCAAAACCACACATCCTCCGGACCATGGAAAAAACTCTCTCCACAGAACCGGTCCCCGGTGCCCAAAAGATTGTGGCCCGCCATATGAAACAAGTAAAACCAACGCAACAACATGGTACAGGAATATTCCGTATTTTTCGGAGTATAAAACGCAGCTTAGTTTTGGGGGAGGAAAATAAGAATAAAGCTGATCGGCAGGTGGATCGGCCTCCTGGAATACCCCCCAATCAGCTGTTCCCAGAGGTGAATTTTAGCAACAGGTTCCTTGGTTGTGAGCTCTGTGCCTTGCTTTTTTTTTTTTTCTGCCTCTGAAACTTCTGAAACTCTGTTTCAGAAAAAAACTTTTTTTCCTGCCTCTGAAAGCCTCCGAAACAGCTTCAGAAAAAAAGCCTCTGAAGCTCTGTTTGGGGGCTTTTTTTCTGAGGCTCTGTTTGGAAGCTTTTTTTCTGAAGCTCTGTTTGGGGACTTCTTTTCTGAAGCTTCATTTCTGATGCTTTTTTCAGCCTCTGAAACCTCCATTTGAGAAGCTGGGCAGGGCTACATTTGGAGTATAAGCTGAAGAGCCAGCGCTGTCCGAAGACGTCTCCGTGGTCATGTGGCCGGCATGACTCAACGCCAAAGGCGCACGGAACGCTGTTACCTTCCCACCACTATTTTTCTACTTGCATTTTTTACGTCCTTTTGAACTGCTAGGTTGGCAGAAGCTGGGACAAGTCACGGGAGCTCACCCCATTACGCGGCACTAGGGATTCGAACCGCTGAACTGCCGACCTTTCGATCGACAAGCTCAGCGTCTTAGCCACTGAGCCACCACATCCCACAAAAGCAATTTTAGGATCACCCAAAAGGAGTTTAAACAATCCTTTACTTGCAGCATCCATTACTTCGTATTGGATATCGGTTGGGTAAAAAAAATAAAATAAAAAGAAGCAAGATCTAAATATCAACAGCAATTAAAGGATCAATAAGAGGATTTCAAAGATTATTGCCAAATCAAAGAGCACGGAGAGATATCTCGAGAGAAAGATTTAGGCTGTTGTGTGGCGTTAAAGTATTAAGATGCTATCAATGAGGGCAAAACCAAAAGATTATAGTAATTGTTATTGATAGAAGAGAATATGGATAGCTCAGGGTTGAACGGTGGAGTGTTTGGTTGGTGCTGTCTGAGCTTGGTAATTTTCTTCCAAATGTTTTAATATACAATTGGGTAACATCAGGGGTGGGTTCTAATTTTTTTTACTACCGGTTCTGTGGGCGTGGCTTATTTTGTGGGTGTGGCTTGGAGGTCATGTGACTAGGTGGGTGAGGCTAGCTGGTCAGAGACATTTCTGGAAGGTCCTCACACTTAGGACCAGTCCTCGCACTTACGACCCGACTCATTTGTTTGCTTTTAACACTGATCAGCTGTAGGACGGCCCTTTGAAGCCCCCCGGCAAGAGTTTAAACAGTTTTTTTCCCTCTAGCCATCAGCTGGGACTCAGGAGGCAGCAATAGATTGGGGGTGGGGCCAAATAAAAGGTAAGAATAACGTGGGTGGTGGGGGGGTGGGAGGGCGGGGGGGAGAACCGGTTCGGTGATGTCATATCGTCACCGCTACCGGCTCGGCCGAACCGGACCGAACCGGGAAGAACCCACCACTGGGTAACATCATCAGTTCTAGAAGAGGGTGGGATTTGTGGAGTAAAGGAAAGAGGAGGAAGAGGAAGAGGAAGAGGAAGGAGCTGTGGAGTCCTTAATGCTGTCTAAACTTGGTATTTTTCTTGCAGACATTTCATTACCCAAGTAGGTAGCATCATCAGTGCTAAAAGGGAGCGGTGGCTTGCCCTTGTATATAAGGAGAGAACCAAGGACCCCAATGTATCTCTTGGGTAATAAAACAACAGCAAGAAAACAACCAAACTCAGAGAGCACTAAGGACCCCGGAGTAATTGTTATATTCTCTTTCTATAAATTACCTGGAACAGCATGAAATCTTAATTCTATATCACCAGCACATGGACACTCCTTTTCCGTCTTTGAAAATTGGCTTTGGGCTCCCCCTTCTAATTCCGTTTGCTTCAGTGGTGGGTTCGGCCCGGTTCTGCCGAGCTGGTAGGGGTGATGATATGATGTCACTGAACCGGTTCTGCCCCCCCTGCCCCCCCCGCATTATTCTTACCTTTTATTTGGCCCCACCCCCAATCTATTGCTGCCTCCTGAGTCCCAGCTGATAGGCTAGAAGGAAAAAGCTGTTTAAACTCTTGCCGCGAGGCTTCAAAGGGCCGCCCTACAGCTGATCAGTGTTAAAAGGCAGTGTGGTGGTAGACCGGTGCCTCCAAAAACAAATGAGTAGACTGGTGCCTACAAAAACAAATGGGTAAACCAGTGCCTCCAAAAACAAATGAGTAGACCAGTGCCTGAAAAAATAAATGGGTAAACCAGTGCCTCCAAAAACAAATGAGTAGACCGGTGCCTCCAAAAACAAATGAGTAGACCGGTGCCTACAAAAACAAATGGGTAAACCAGTGCCTTCAAAAACAAATGAGTAGACCAGTGCCTGAAAAAATAAATGGGTAAACCAGTGCCTCCAAAAACAAATGAGTAGACCGGTGCCTCCAAAAACAAATGAGTAGACCAGTGCCTGAAAAAATAAATGGGTAAACCAGTGCCTCCAAAAACAAATGAGTAGACCGGTGCCTCCAAAAACAAATGAGTAGACCGGTGCCTCCAAAAACAAATGAGTAGACCGGTACAGCTCTGCAAGCAGTTAAAAGCCTGGTAGACCAGTACCTCTGCTAAATCCTAAAGAATTGTCACATGACCATCAAGCCACACCCACAAAATAAGCCACGCCCAGAGAACCGGTAGTAAAAACCGGTAAAAACCGGTTTGCTTCTACTGAAGTCATCAAGCATGGAACCTGGAGACCAGAAGCCACAAAGGGTTCCCCATATAATGGATTCCAGAAAATGCAAAAAAAAGTAAAGATACTAGCTGGGAAGCAAAGGAATGTGCTCAAACATCTCTGGGTCAGGTGATCCTCTACTTACAATCGGTAGCTTAATGACCGTTCAAAGTTAGGACAGATCCCCTCACCCCCAAAAATGGGACTTAGTTGACTTCTGAGGTCAGCCCATCCCCGTGACCACATGATAATATTTTGGGCACTCAGCAACTGGCCCGCATTTTCAG